GCATCTGGCGAGCCAGAGCCGCACACGGAAACGCCGTTTACCTTCCCGCTAGTAAGCGGTCCCTATTTATCTACTTGCACCCGGGGGTGCTTTCGAACTGCTAGGTTGGCAGGCGCTGGGACCGAACGACGGGAGCGCACCCCGCCGTGGGGATTCGAACCGCCGACCTTTCGATTGGCAAGCCCTAGGCGCTGAGGCTTTTACCCACAGCGCCACCCGCGTCCCTTATGCTAGAGCATAATAAATCTGCAAGTCTTTATTTAACCTGGTGCCCTCCAGGGGTTGTTGGACTACAAATCCCATCAGCCTCTAAACCAGCAGAGGACAGGCAAAGGCTTCCTGCAGGTGTCATTGCAAGACTTGTTTTTTGCTGCAACTGTCTCCATTTTTTCTTGCTGGTCCCTGACCTTTCTGCTAACAATCACTCATGAAGTGTTGTTGCTTTCAGAGGGTGAGAAATATGAGTATGTACAAATGTTCATGATCAAACCATACAGTGACTAATGTGTTTTTGTACAGGGATAGGAGACGAGGGCCCACGCCACAGACCTGCCACTCAAATGCAAACCATAACTTGTTCCTCCCACCTCAGAACAGATTTTCTCTCAGTAATTCTTACAATCAGCCTGTGGGTAGACCACTAATGGTAGGGTCTCCATCCCTGCTGGGGAGACAGAAAGGACTCGCTTAAGGCAACAGGGACTTTACCAACCGCAATGTATTTTACAGGCTTCACTGGGATTTTTTGCCATGGGTTTGGAAACCAGGATTTTGCTGGAGCTTTTTCTTAACTGGAGAGGCCAGGGACTGAACCTGGGACTTTCTTCCAGCGAAGCAGCTGATCTGCCCCTACACTCCAGTTCCTTCCCCTAACAAACACACCTGAGCCTGCTCAATGCGGGATCTGTGGCTGAGAACAGATGGAGAAACCAAAGAAGAGCCCTACAGCAGCTGGATTAGGCCAAGGGGGGGGAGGCATCTAGTGCAGCCTCCTGTTGCCACAGTGGTCAGCCAGATGCCCCCCCAAGGGAAGCCCACAAAGCAGCAGGACGGGGGGGGGCAGCAGCTGCTGCTGCACACCACATGCAACATCTTCATTAAACCAGAGGCGGGTTTCCCAAACTTGGGTCTCCAGCTGTTTGGGGACTACAATTCCCATCATCCCTGAGCACTGGTCCCACTAGCTAGGGGGGATGGGAGATGGAGTCCAAAAACTGCTGGAGAAAGCCTGTTTGGGAAACTCCAAGGTCTCCTTCCTGGCAGGTCAGGAGGACATCCTAGGAGGCTGCAGGGTCCGGCCCAAGAGGGGCCCATCCTGCCCAGCCTCCTCTTCTCACGGTGGCCGATGCCCCCCAGCAAACGGGATCCGAGCCCCAGAGCCAGCCTCCCCTCCTGGGGTTCCCAGTCCCTGGCCTTGGGAGCCACGCTGGCCCCTCGGAGCCCGTCCTCGGAAGCCCTCTCACCCGCCACGAAGGGGCTGCTGGCCCGGCAGATTTCTTTTTTAAAAAAAAAGTTCACAAAATGGATTAACGAGATTTTCTCCTGATTAGTTGCCCCTCTGGGAGGCGGAAGAGGTTTTTTGAGGTGGGGGGGGGAATCGCACTCTGCACATGCCCAGAGGAACACCCGACACCCAACCAGCCTGGCCAATGGCAGGGCTCTCCTGGAGTGACGTCAGGGGAGGCGGCCCGTGACGTCACAGGGAGGCCCCGCCCCTCACCTGACGGGAGAGGCGCGTCCACCGAATGGGGCGCGTCCACGTACAGGAGCTCCGCGCGCCCGCGGAGGGCCTTGCGCAGGGACCCGGTTCGCGCGCGGAAGATGTCCGCGCTCTGCCGGTATCCATGGAGACAGAGCAGCCGCAACCCGCCGCCCCCGCGGGAGGACATGCCGCATCCGGGTGGGAAGTAGAACGAGGGACGCCGGAAGCGACGCTCCTCTTTGCAGCGTCTATGGTTAGGAGGCCGGAAACGCCCTTCTCGTACCGTAGAGCTAGCAAAGATGTAGAGTGAGCTCTATTCGGGGTCTGGAGGTGAATTCCGGGCTCGCTCATGGAAATCTGGCTCTCAGGTCTGATTCAATCTCTGCGCGTAACACTTCAGATGCCTGCCAAGGCGAAACTCTTGCCTGCTTCCCCCTGCGTCTGCCAGGGGAGGAAAGAGCAAGCGAGAGGAGGCTCACGACAGCCCTGCAAGGTAGGACACCAGAGGCGGGTAGGATTCCCAAGCAAAAAAACAGTGGCCTTAAATTCATCGCCTGCCCCAACCTCCTCTTTCTGTGCAAAAATAAAGAGAGCAATCCTGCCATGGTCTTTTTAAATCTCACACGCAGGACCCTTTCCCTCCACTGCCTTGCCTACAAACACTAACAGTGAATGCTTACTCACAAGTAAGCCCCACTGAGTGATACAGGTTTTGCTCCCAGGTAAGTGTGCATGTTTAGGATGGCAGCCTTAAGCTACTTATTTACTTTGGGATTTCTAAGGCAGATCTCAAATTATTTAGGGGAACGGAAATTAATTTCACATTAAGGCAGCTGGGAGACCCTGTACAGATTTGGGCAACTGAACAGCCTTTTTTGTGGCATTTTCAGACCCTCCCAAGTGTCCCTATTTTCCAGGGACAGCCCCGGATTTACAGAAGCCACTCTGGTTTCTGATTTGATCCCAGAGTGTCACTCTTTTCCCTAGGATGCCCTTATCTTCATCGGAGAAAGCTTGGAGAGTATGGAGATGTGACCCTGAACCAAAGAGATGAATAACTATACAACCTTTAATGTTTTATTATGTTTTTATATATGTTGTAAGCTGCCCAGAGTGGCTGGAGCAACCCAGGCAGATGGGTGGGATACAAATAATAAAAAGATGGTGATGGAATGAACTCTCTCCACTGTGCAGCAGCCGCTTTTCAGTTTTGACTGCATTTTTGAGTGTATTTTGTAAAGAGGGACTCCTGTCCCAAACAGGCTGCATAGCAGAGGGGCCTGGCTCTCCTCTTGCACCCACAGCCAGGCGTTTGGGGACCTTACCCCTTCTCAAGAGTAGTGGAGACATTACAAGTGTTAACGGAGAAATCTGAGGGCTCCCTTGGACAAAAAACGAGGACACCAGCCAGGAATACCAGAGCAAAACAGCAGCCAGTCGGCTTGGTCTTGATTGAAGACTGTCGCGACAGGGCTCCCACCTGCCACCAGGTGGAACAAGATGGAAGCCCCAAACAAAAGAGAACCCAAACTTTTATTAGCTACTAATCCCCATGTTTGAGTGCTCACTGGAAGGACAGATCGTGAAGCTGAGACTCCAGTACTTTGGCCACCTCATGAGAAGAGAAGACTCCCTGGAAAAGACCCTGATGTTGGGAAAGATGGAGGGCACAAGGAGAAGGGGACGACAGAGGATGAGATGGTTGGACAGTATTCTCGAAGCTATGAACATGAGTCTGACCAAACTGTGGGAGGCAGTGGAAGACAGGAGTGCCTGGCGTGCTCTGGTTCAGGGAGTCAGGAAGAGGCGGACACGACTAAACAACAACAACAATCCCCATGTTACACCCCCCCCAAACTACATCACTCATACATCACTGTTACATCATGAAAGGGGAGGTCTGGTGGCAGAAATCTGAACATCCTGGACCCTGCCCCATGGTTCTCCTTGCCCTCCACCAAACACCCATCATCAAGTGGAACAAAAAAGATATTCACATTTCCCTGTTTCCCAGCCAAGTTCATCACACCTTTTTGTCTTCATCTGGGTTTGGTATTTCTGGAATGGCTACCTGTCTGGCACTCAGGTATCAGGAGGCCAGGGATTATCCCTCAGGCAGAGGGGCTGCTGAGTAGCTGAGCTCACCTGTCTATATGAATTTATGAAGTTTTCCCAGTGAGCCAGTACAGAGATGCATTGATCAGTGAATTCTTGCATTTGGTGTCGTGCAGCAAAGGCCCTTTGAAAAGATAGGAAGAAAGTGTGATGAAGTGTTTTGTGGGGACAAATCACAAAGTTAAAAAAGTGATTGTGCTGATTTTGGTAGTGGGCTGCATGTGCATGATATCTGCTGGACGGGCACCCCCCCCCCACCCTATACATAAAATCCTGCAACACAAGCATCCCACCCCAGCAGTTTCGCTCAAGACATGTTCCTGGATTATTTTTATGACTGATTTCATTTCTATACCGCTTCATATTTGTAAGAAAAAGTTCTCAACCTGCATTAAAATACCATACAGAACATTCCAAAATAGAACTTGACAGAAGAAAATCCTATATAGAACATACATTTAAAACAACATAATTAATGGGAAACAGCAATATTATCTTAAAAGACGTCAAAATAAAACATTATAAAGGAAGGTCAAGGATGGAATACACATTTAAAGCAGTGCAAAAGGGAAGAGAATAAAATATATTGTCATAAACATGGATTGACAGTAAGCAGAGATAGATGAAACACTCCCTCCATTTCGTAGTGCAAGGGCTCCAGAGCTGGAAGTTTGGGGATAAACCAGGGTTTCTCAAATGTTTGGGGGCCCCTGGCACCTTGGTTCCATAAACTCACCCCAGTGCCCCCTGCCCTATCCCATAAAAGGTAAAGGTACCCCTGCCCGTACGGGCCAGTCTTGACAGACTCTAGGGTTGTGCGCCCATCTCACTCAAGAGGCCGGGGCCAGCGCTGTCCGCAGACACTTCCGGGTCACGTGGCCAGCGTGACAAGCTGCATCTGGCGAGCCAGCGCAGCACACGGAACGCCGTTTACCTTCCCGCTAGTAAGCGGTCCCTATTTATCTACTTGCACCCGGGGGTGCTTTCGAACTGCTAGGTTGGCAGGCGCTGGGACCGAGCAACGGGAGCGCACCCCGCCGCGGGGATTCGAACCGCCGACCTTTTGATCGACAAGTCCTAGGCGCTGAGGCTTTAACCCACAGCGCTACCCGCGTCCCGCCCTATCCCATAAACAATAGCAGTTTGCATGACCCACTACAGAAGATAACAAAATGAAAACGGCAATGATTCATTGTACATTTATTTCAAAAAAATAAACATAGGCAAAAATAAATATATGCTCCCCTCTAATCATGGAGCTGAAAAAAGAATGTGCTTCAAAGAATATTGCATGAAAAATAGAAATATATGTATATTTGGAAACATTTTTAATTATTACCAAGCATAAAGTGTTGTCTTCAAGGAGAAACGCTTGAAAACTCTTTTACGCATTCCAATGGTGGAAAACATAAGGGAGAAGGAAATTTATAGCATATGGTTTGTACTCGCCAAACAGGCACAAACCTTCACCTACTACAGACGTACGGTAACCAGTTTATAAGAAAATCGATAGCTATTACCAATAATTGGCCATCTTGGGACGACGCAGAATTGTAAATGCAAAGAAACGTCCCCAAAGGAAAACAGCTTTGAAAATGGTAAGAGCAGTAAACCTTTAAAAACGAAGCGAGGAAAAAGTTTCACTCGAGCTTCTAGTCTGGTCAATCGCAAAACAGCGGCGCATGAGCTCGGAGGGGCTTCCTCCAGCGCCCCCTGCCCCCCCTTCCTCTTATCACCCCTAGGTGATCCCACCGCCCCCCAAGAGTTAGTCCCACACATTTGGGGAGCCACTGGGCTAGACTTTGGCCCCCACACTGCAGGGCAGCAACGGCCGCTTGCCTCCTTGGAGGCGCATCCTCTGGGCTTGGCTGGTGTTTGTGCCCCAGAGCGCCAGCCCTGCTGTTCCTCAGGGGTGCTGCCAAGCCGGTTCTGTGCCCGACAGCTCAGTGTGGTCCCAGGACCCGCCTGAACCCCCAGGTCTGGCGCGGAGCCTCAAGGCTGAGGGCTGGGCAGCGGCACCTCTTCCTTCTTCTCCTTCTCCTCCTCCTCTCGGCAGTCGCAGCGCCCACAGGCTTTCTTCTCGGGCTGGAGCGTGGCCTTGGCCGGGATCACCTGCAAGAATTGGGCAACGCCTGAGAAGCTGAAGGGGCCGTGGCAAGGTCCCAGCCCTCATGGTTTTGAGCTGAGGGCGGATCTAAACAGGAACACGGGAAGCTGCCTTGTCAGAGAGTACAGAGTCACTCTAGAAAGAAATGCAAGGTTCCAGTCCTCAGGGTTGATTTCAATAGGAACTCAGGAAGGTCCCTTTTACTGACTATTAAGTACAGTGGTACCTCGGTTTAAGAACAGCCCTGTTTACCAACTATTCGGTATAAGAACTCTGCAAAACCGGTAGTGTTCCGGTTAGCAAACTTTACCTCGGTCTACGAACGGAATCTGAACGGTGGAAGGGCACCGACGGCAGGAGGCCTCATTAGGAAAAGCGCACCTCGGTTTAAGAACGACTTTGGTTTAAGAACAGACTTGTGGAACAGATTAAGTTCGTAAACCGAGGTACCACTGTACTGCTAAATCCAGCATACATTTTGGAAAGCTATTTTTCTGGTATGTATCTGGATACTCCATTCAAGATGGAACGCTCTCTCCCAAGAGACTAGGGCCCTGCGGGACTTGACATCTTTCTGCAAGGCCTGCGAGACAGAGCTGTTCCACCAGGCCTTTGGCCAGGGCACAGTCTGACCCCCCTCCTTTGGTAATCCTCATAGAACTCTAGCCCATAGAATTGATTTTAGAATGAATGGATTTTAGAATGTATTTCAATTAATCAATTATTTTTTATGTAAACTGTGTTATTTTTACTGTTGTTAGCTGCTCTGAGCCCGGCTTTGGCTGGGGAGGGTGGGATATAAATAAAATTTTATTATTATTATTATTTTATTATTAAGATCATTATAACCAAATTTTGCATGGTGCTTCCCAAGACTAAGGATCAGCCTTTCGTCTGTGTTTGGATACCATCGGACGCCATCAGACTAAGACCTGGGAGACCCCAGGGTCCCAAATCCCTTCTCTCGACCATGACACTCACTGGGTGACTTTGGGGGCTGGTCACTGCCTCTCAGCCAAGCCGACCTGGCAGCGTTGTGGTGGGGAGTATACAAGGAGGGCAGAACTATTTACACATCACCACGAGTTCCTTGGGAGGAAAAGGTGGCATACAAATGCAATTCAACGCATTTTGATCCAAGATGGGGGGCCGGATCTCTCGCAATTTAGCACTGATTTTGCAAGACTGCACTGATTTTGCGGGATGGGGTGTTCTTAGACTTCCTGAGCAACATCAGGAATGAGGTTGCTAGCTATGAAATAGAATCACAGAATCAAAGCATAGTAGAGTTGGATGTGATTCCAATCTCATCTAGTCCAACCCTTCTGAGCCCCCTGAGATCTTATAAATCTAATAATATATAAAATAACCCCCCTGCAATGCAGGGATCACAGCCAAAGAACTCCTGACAGGGGGCCATCAAACCTCTGCTTAGATTGCCCATTGCACATGAAGCAGTCATGGTAGAAGCCAGATCTGGTGTTAGCAGGGAAGGCGGATAGAACAGAAAAAACTGATCCAAGAACCGTGAGGATCTAGGACTCCTGGGTCCGCTCTCTGGCTGCGCCTTCGCTGCACTAATGCAACTCCCACTATATGGAAAACAGTTCATCCAAAGCGAGAGGCCCCCACCCTGACTGGCCGCTAGGGGGAGATGCCACCCTGCAAGTGAAGCGCAGAGAGCCGAGTGCAAGAACCTGGGAAAGGAACCGCAGAAATGGGGCTTCCTTCTGCAGCTTCAACCCAGCAAGCGGGACAAGGGACCTGAGGCCTGTGTGTCCCAGTTAAGAAGCCACAGGCGTCACCCCAAGGGAAAGAGAGGGATCTTGATAGACAAACATAAAGGCCAGGGCTACTGGTGAGATGGCTACTGACTGCCATGGTCCATCTAGCCCAGTGTTGCCTACACTGACTGGCAGCATCTCTGCAGGGTTTCAGGCAGGGAGTGTTTCTTCCAGCGCCCCCCCCCCCGGAGATGCCGCAAGTGGGGACTGAACCTGGGACCTTCTGCACTCAAAGCTGGTGCTCTCTACCACTACTGAGCCTTCCCCTCAAGAGCGTGGAGAGCGGCTGCCAGCCAGAGCAGACAGTGCTTGGAGACTGAACTACAATACAGAAATTGGGGGGGATCCAACCCTGAGCTGTGAACCAGGAAGTCCCACTTCAAATGCTACGAGCTCTTTGGGTCTCCATTCAGCCCCCTGCTCCCCCCTGAAATTTGGGGGATAAAGTGAATAATGCTGACCTCCTGCTCTTGTAAGGGGTGGGGAACCTTACGTGGCCCCCACACCTCTCTCTCTGGCCCCCAAAGTCCCCCCCCAGGCTGCACCCTCCTCCAGTGGTCTGGCCCAGCTGCAAAGGTGCCCCATGTCTCTTGCCTAGCCTGCAGGAGGAGAGGCAGAGAGGGCAGAGAAAATAGCCGGCTCCTGTCCAAGGATAAAGAGGGCTATTTGCTGCCCCCCCCCACTTTTGCTTCTTGCCCCGCCCACCACTGGCGTGCGGCCCTCCAAGCGGAAACGCTTCCCCGCCAGGGATTGCAGTTTCGAAAGGCGCACGAAAGCACTTTGCCGCTGGTTATTACTGTGAATTACTGTGAATTGACTGAATTGCATCAATTGTTTTGATGAGTCCGTAGCTGTTTGCTTTATTTATTTATATGCTGCTGTGTTTGATATTATAGAGATTGCAATGCCTTTTTTTTTTTTTAACTAATGCTGTTGCTTCGCGCTCAACATTTGCTGCTGGAAAAGCAGAATACAGATCCCCAGTCAGATCAAATGATGAGAATCGGGAGGCCTTCAAAAGCCCCACTTCCTGCACTGCAGGGGGCTGGACTAGAGGACCCTTTGAGGTCCCTTCCAACTCCACCGTTCTATGAAACAGAAGTGCCAGAGTGCAAGGGCTCCTGTGCCCAGGAAGAACCCCTGCCCCACTCCCCGTCCGCATGCAAAGCCCCCCAAGGGCTGCCCGGCCCCTCACCTCCTTCTCCCGGCTCCCCCTCTGCGGCTGGCGGCTGCTGCTGTGGTTCACCGTCCAAGGCCCCAGCGACTGGCTGGCGTAGAAATCCATGGGGTAGGTCTCTTGCCACTGGACCTGTTGCAGAGCCACGGCGGCCTGAAAAGAGGGCAAGGGCGGGGGGGGGGGTCAAGACCCTGGTGGCTCCAGACCCTTCCCTGACTGGAGGGTCTTAATCATCATCATCATCACCATCATCATCTATTACTTATACCCTGCCCATCTGGCTGGATTTCCCCAGCCACTCTGGGCAGCTTCCAACAAAGTATTAAAATACAGTAGTCTGTTAAGCATTAAAAGCTTCCCTAAACAGGGCTGCCTTCAGATGTCTTCTAAAAGTCTGGTAGTTGTATCTGGTGGGAGGGCGTTCCACAGGGCGGGCGCCACCACCAAGAAGGCCCTCTGCCTGGTTCCCTGTAACTTGGCTTCTCGCAATGAGGGAACCGCCAGAAGGCCCTCGGCGCTGGACCTCAGAGTCCAGGCAGAACGATGGGGGTGGAGACGCTCCTTCAGGTCTACTGGACTGAAGCCGTTTAGGGCTTTAAAGGTCAGCGCCAACACTTTGAATTGTGCTCGGAAACGTACTGAATCCTGTTGTGGTTTGGGCTGCGGGTTCAAGGCCCAGGGAATGATGGGGGACGGGAGTCCAGCCACCTCGGATTGGAGGAAGGTGGATGCTATCGTTGGCTCACCTCGTAGGGCGTGAGGAGAGGTCTTCCGAAGGCCTCCCCCCAGTCGATGGAGAGCCTGGGACAAGCCACCTGGACCCACCTGCAGGAAGGAAGAGGAAGAGGGGCTGTAGGGCAACAGTGCTTGGCATGCAGAAGGACCCAGGCTCAATCCCCAGGAAGAAAAGGTCCCAAATGGGCCAAATCCGCCCAGCTAGGAAGGCGAGACCTTAGGCCAGCCAGAGTCTCTCAGCTTCTCCTACCTCACAGGGCTGCTGGGAGGACGAAAGGCCCAGCAAAGATTTGCCTGTTCCAAGCCTGCTTTGGGTTCATTTGCTGCTGGGATTTCCGTTATGTTTTATTGAATGCTTGCTCTGCATTTTGTTCCATTGCGTATGGAGTTCATGTTATTGGAAAGGCAAGATTACATCTTTTAATTATTTCAGAAAAGGCAAGTGACTGTTTGTTTTTTAACTGAAAATTTCATTGTTTTATTCCTTTCTGAGGTTTTTGGGAGTTTATTTTACAGTCATGCAGGATTTAGATTTTTTTAACGAAATAAATAAGCAAACAAATCTTTGCTTGCCTGGTGGACTAGAACCTTGGCTTTGCTTTTAAAAACAGAAAAGCAGCTTGCCAATGACAGGGTCCTGCCACCACCGTTCTGGGCAGGGCGGCTGAAATTCCCCAACAAACAATGAAATGGGGGAAGAGGAGGCCTCAGGTGTCCCAGTGTGGTGCAGGGGTCAGAGTGTCAGACAAGACCTGGGAGAGAACAGGGTTTGAATCCTTCCACTTAGCCATCAAGCTCACCGGGTGTCCTTGGGGGCCAGTTGCTGCCTCTCTCACCCTCACAGGGTTGTTATGGGGATTAAATGAAGAGGGGGAGCAGAACCAAGAACGCCAAAGAGGGGAGAGGAAGGGGGGGTGTCTTCTGACCCACGGCTCCCATCGATACTCACGCCTCAACATCGGGGAACAGCTGCAGTTTGCCAGGGAAAATCTCCGAGAGCAGGAGGCGGATGTAGGGGCGCCCCAAGGACCGGAGGGTGGACTCCAAGTGCTGCAGACAAGGGGGGGGGCACGGAGAGAAGAGAGGTTGGGACCCGAGACGGAGCCTTAATGGTGGTGGCACCAAACATGTCTCCCCTGCAAGGAAGGCCCACCAGGCTCCTTCTCTCTTTGTCTGCGGAAAACCTTTCTATTCCAGCATGCTTTTCCTTTACAGTCGTACCTCGGAAGTCAAACAGAATCAGTTTCAGAAGTCCGTTTGGCATCTGAAACGTTTGACTTCCAAAGCGCGGCTTCTGATTGGAAGCTCCTGCAGCCAATCGGAAGCAGCGGAACATGTGTCAAACGTTCGGGTTCCAAAAATAGTTTGCAAACCGGAACAGTCACTTCCAGTTTTCGATCGTTTGGGAGTCGGAACATTAGACTCCCAAGGTGTTTGGGAGCTGAGGTACAACTGTATTTCATTTCAACAACTTATACACCACTTATTTACCATCGTCACTAAGTGGCTTATTTTAGCTGAAGGATCCGGTTAACGGCCCCCCTGAAAGGGCCCCCTGAGTCCAGCGCCCTGATCTCACCGTGGCCAACCAGGCAACTCAAAGGGACCTGAGCACTTGAGCAACTCTCCACTGTTTGGTCCCCATTGCTTGGTACACAGAGGTAGACTGCCCCTGGGTGTGGAGGTTCTGCTATCACAGCAGGCCTCCAGTTGGACCTGTCTGTCTAGTCCAGCCTCCTGCCTTTGCCATGGCATTCAGAAGCATGACACCTGCCCTCAGCCCCATCCCAGCTAAGAATGTAATAAGAACTCTGTACGGGGACAGGGGCTGGCCAGGGGGGAATGGAGGCTGGGGGAGGACAGGACTTGATATCTGTCGCTGGAGACAGACAATGGTTCACACACAATGGTTCTATGGTTCTGCTGATTTATTCCTTGCCCTCCACCCTAAGATCCCAGGGCAGGTGACAGCATTAACAACAACCCTGAAACAACACTTTAAAACAACTTAAAAAGGTAAAAGGACCACTGACCATGAGGTCCAGTCGTGACCGACTCTGGGGCTGCAGCGCTCATCTCGCTTTACTGGCCAAGGGAGCTGGCATACAGCTTCCGGGTCATGTGGCCAGCAGGACTAAGCTGCTTCTGGCGAACCAGAGCAGCACACGGAAACGCCGTTTACCTTCCCACAGGAGCGGGACCTATTTATCTACTTGCACTTTGACGTGCTTTCAAACTGCTAGGTTGGCAGGAGCAGGGACTGAGCAACGGGAGCTCACCCCGTCGCGGGGATTCAAACCGCCAACCTTCTGATCGGCAAGTCCTAGACTCAGTGGTTTAACCCACAGTGCCACCCGCGTCCCTTTTAAAACAACTTTCAATGGCAGAAAACAGGTGGGCCCTAAAAATATACACCTTGTGTGTCAAAAGCCAGAGCAAAGAGGGGCACCTTCGACATTCTCCAAAAGCTGGACAATGAAGGCGCAGGACGCACCCCAGTCAGCAGGGAGTTCCACAGTTCATTTTATTCCTAAAAGTATTGGCATACTGCTCTATCATACAAAAGTAAAATAAAAATAAAACCCACGTCAAAGCGGTTTATAAAAAGATAAAACCATAGAAGAGAAACACAACATGTTGGAAGTTCTGCAGCCTCCCCGGGTGGCTCTGCCTGGCTGCGCCGTATCCTCGAACTCAGGTCCTCGAACTCTATTTCCCTGGGCGGAGAGGGGAGAAGCAGCGAATGCAGGAACCAGCCTGCTGCACCCAAGGGAGAAATCCAGACGCATTGCTCCGCCCATGTTTGCTCCTGGCCCCGCCCATTACCCCCCCCCCCAGGGCTGGAACCCTCCCCCTCCACCGCCAGAGGAGGGACAAGGCAGGGAGCAACTCACTTCCAGGATGGCCGGGGACCCCTGGCGCCCCAACGTCCCCAGGATGAGGCCCCACTTTCCGGCACGAGACGCCTCCCGGATGGCTTCCTTCCGCGTCCTCTGCATGCGCTCGTGGCCGTAGTGCTCCTGCGAGAAGACCTTGCTGTAGGGGTCGTACCTGCAGAGAGGGGGGCAGGGGAGGGGTCAGAGGCTGGTAGGGAGGGACCCCCACCTCGGGAGAAAGGAAAGACGCAGGCCCTGAACTCAGGCAGGCAGCAGCTCCCACCCATGGCATCCCCCACAGGGGCCAAGCGCAGAACGTGGCGTCCTCTATGCACACCTGAAGCTGCCTGATGCAGAGTCAGGCCTTGGGGTCTGGCTGGCTCAGGGCTGCCCACACGGACTGGCAGCAGCAGCTCTCCAAGATGTCAGACAGGAGGTTTCTCCCATCGGAAGATGCCCCTGGGGACTGAACCTGGGGCTTTTCTGCGGGCAAAGCTCGGCCACCGAGCCCAGGGCCCTTTCCCTTCAAAAAACAAAAGAGCCAAAACGCTAGTCCTCATGATTAAAGGGGCTGCTTCAACAGGAAGCCGCCTTTTGTCTGGGACAAACAGCTGGAGAATTGCTGGTGCTGCGCTCAGGTCCTGTCGGCCACCATGAGAAGAGGACGCTGGGTCTCTGCTAAGCCCCCATTGGCCCAAAACTGCAGGGCTCTTCTGGCGTCCTTTGGGCTCTGCACATGCTCTAAAAGGCAGCGCGGCACCATGGTTAGTGCGCTGGACCAGGACCTGGGAGAACAGGGTTGAAATCTCCACTTGGCCATGAAGCTCACAGGGTGACCTTGGGCCAGTCACCATCTCTTAACCTAGCCTCCCTTGCAGGGCTGTAATAATAATAATAATAATAATAATAATAATAATAATAATAATAATAATAAATTTATTTATATCCCGCCCTCCCCAGCCGAAGCCGGGCTCAGAGTGGCTAACAACAATAGTGAGGTTGTAGTGAGGTTGAAATGGGAGGAGGAGAACCATGAGGTTCTTGGAAAACAAAGGTGGTATATTAATATTATTAATAATAATAATAATAATAATAATAATAATAATAATAATAATAGTAACAACCGCAGCACCTCCCTTCAGCTTTTATCACATCTTTGGAATGGGAGGCAGTTGTACTAAAGGGATGGGGCTGCACCAGGTGGGGGATTGTGGGGGGCAGCACACACCCCCGTTTTCCGCCGCCCAGCAGAGCACCCTCTAAAGTTTACCCCTCTCCCATCCGAAATCTAAACATTTTGACAAGCACCTCCAGAAACGTGGGTCTCCCATTACGCCCCCCCCTCCCGACCGCCCTTCTTCTGGAGGCAGAGAGGGGCCATAAAACGAGGCGATGATGAGCCCTGCTCAGAACCGATGAAATATCCGCTGCTCAGCTGGGACCCGGCCTGCCCACCGCCCAAATCTGAATTCCTGAGCAGGTCGTTTGTTAGCGGCAGGCAGGGGGGGACGGCAGCTTTATGGGGCAGAGAGGCGGCCCAGCCCAGGCGCAGCTTGATTAAAATTCCCTCTGCCAAGCCGGGTAACAAATCACCCGTTTTCCAGGGAAGCGGCGATGGGGAGAGAGAGCGCAGCGGAGCGTGGCCGCCTGCGGAAATCAGGCCTTTCCTGCTGGGGGGGGGCAGGGAGAGGGTTGGCCATGGCTACTGGCCAGGATGGCTAGCTGCAAGGGCAGGAGGAAGGACGGGATGAGCCACGGGCCCGATCCTTTAGGCTCTTGCGTGGGAGGAGAGGGTGGCCCATGGCTACTAGCCAGAAGTCGCAGCAACCGGCCTTGCCGCCTCCAGCAGAGGAGGCAGGAGCACAGCCGTCGCGGCCAGAAAGGAAACAGGGAGCCAAGCTGAGTGTTGGTCAGGTATAAGGAAGAACTTTGTTAAACTGTGGAACTCCCTTCCACTGGAGGTACGTGATGGCCACCAACCTGGATTGCTTAAAAAGAGGCTTGGACAAATTCAGGGAGAAGGAGGGCTACTAGCCAGGATCACTCTGCTCTGCCCTCTTCTGGAGACCAGTTTCTGGAAACCACAGGAGGGGGAGAGTTGCTCTTGTGTTCGAATCCTGCTTGCGGGTTTCCCTTTGGCAGCGGCGTAGCGTGGGTTGTCAGCACCCGGGGCAAGGCAAGTAATTTGCACCCCCTAACCCCTAACCTGCCGCCGCTGCCAGCTTCTTCTTGCTGCTGCCTGGGCTGGGGTATTTACGGTAAGGTAGCCACGGCGGCGGCGGTGGGTCCATGTCAGGTGATCTGAGGCGAGTTGCCGCTGGCGCTGCCGCCCAAACGACGCCGCTTGCCCGGAGGAGGAGGGCAGAGAGGCGAGGAAAATGCAACATGGCCCAGCAGCTGCAGCAGCGGCGGCGGGGCTGTGAGGAGGGGCTGCCTGGCGCGCCCTCCGCAGCCCTGACGCGCGGGGACCGCGGCGAGCGCTGAGAGCCGCTGCCAGCTCGTCGGTTCCGCGAGACATGGGGCTCTGCTACAGCCTGCGCCCGAGGCTCTTCGGCGACTCCGGAGGCGGCGAGCGCGCCCCCCCAGATGTTGCACCCGGTGCGGCCGGCCCCCTCTGCACCCCCCACGCTACGCCACTGCCCTTTGGGGCATCCAGTTGCTATCCCAGGTGGGCCACTGGCCTGATTCAGTCGGCTCCTTTTCTGTTCTTAGCAGAAGGAAGGTTCCCTCCCCACACGCAAACTCCCTCTTCCCCAGCAGAAGGTGGACGTTTGCCTTCCTGTTTGCCTTCTGGTAATCACTGTTTGCCGTCCTTCCTGCTCAGCCCAACCTTGAATTCCCAGGCCGGCCTTTAACAAGATTGTTCCGCCCATTTAGCGGGAAATCAGCCCACACGGAGGGGCTGCGCTGGGGTCCTAAGGAGAGCGGATGGCGAGGGGCTGGGGTGGGAGCAGCCAGCAGGTGTTGGGGGGCCCAGGGTTGAAGAGGGTGAAGGGTGGGGCGCACAGGACTGGGGGTTTTGGTCTATGATGTGCCTGGCGGGGGCTGATGGGAGTTGTAGAGCCAGGGGGCTCCAGGCTGGTGGAGGCTGAGAACGTGGTCCTCTGCGCTGACCACCTCCTAATCAGGCCAGCCCAACGTCTGCTCCTAAAGCCCCCTGCAAATTAAAGTTTCCGTAACAAGGAAGACACTTTTACAGAAGTGGAGAAGCACACGGCTGGGATGAATGTGGCCCTCAAGGCCTTTTTGGCCCCCAAGATGCTTTTCCCAGGCCACGCCTCCTACCTAGGCATGCCTTCTATATCCAAGTCACACCTCCCCCCTTTGCCACACCCTCTATAGGTCACGCCTCCTCCCATGCCACACCAATCTCTAGGCCATGCCTTCTCCCTAGCCACACCTCCTATCCCCAAGCCACGCCTCCTCCCAAGCCACACCTCCTATCTCCAGGCCACGCCTCCTCCCTAGCCACACCTATCTCCAGGCCACACCTCTTCCCTAGCCACACCTCCTATCTCCAGGCCACACCTCCCTCCCCAGCCCCCCAGCCCTGCCCCCCTCCAATACCTGTAGGCAGGAATCCCTGGGTTGGCGATCATGATGGACTCCAGGTGGAAACGGCCGTCTCCCAGGTAACTGGAAACGGAAAGGAAAGGTAAGGAAGGGCTGCGGCTCAGTGCAGGAGGTCCTGCTTGGCATGCAGAAGAGTCCTGGGTCCAACTGCCAAGGGCATCTCCAGGCAGGGCTGGGAAGACCCTGCCTAAATCCCTGGGGAGTCACTGCCAGCCTCTGCCAGAGGGAGCTGCCTGCTGAAGCAAACCCTTTGTTTAGAATCATGAGGACTAGAATGCTGCACTCTCTGCTTAGGTGGCCCAATGGTCTGAGTTGGTGGCGGCCAGTCAAAGGGGGGGGGGTTCCCAGAGCTCCACAGAGCCAATGGCAAGAAGGGCCACCAGGCCGCCTTCTACCCCAGACCCCCAAGAAGGGAGGGGGGTCTGAAAACAAGCCCCTCTGGGTACCCACTGTCTCCAGCCCCGAAGAGGGTCCACCATTTGTTCTGAAGGAAAGTAAGGACAGTGGCCCATCTAGTCCGGCATCCTGTTCTCACACGGCCACCCAGATGCCCCAATGCAAAACTCCCAGGCAGGATTTGAACCCAAGAGCCCTGTTCCCTCGTGCGGTTTCCAGTAACTGGGATCCAGAGCATTTCTGAGCAGAGCCATCCTGGCAGGGAGCCCTCCAGAGCTCTTTCTGCCTCCATCCAATCCTCTTCCAAAGCCATCCAAGGGGGTGGTCCTCACAGCCTCCTGTGGCAGGGAGTTCCACAGTTGAACTGCGCTGTGCAAAAAAAGAACTTTCTCTTATCTGTCTCGAATCTTCCAAAAGGAACCTGGCGTGCACCAATCTGGCTTTCTCCAGAGGACCCCCTCCGTGCCGCTCAGGCTGCTTTCCTCCAGACTCTCTCGCTGCTCCTGCTAACGCTGCATTTTCATTTTTAAAAATGGATCGTGCTTTTCCGTTTGCTATTACACCTTGATGTTTTCGTTGTGCAAAAACGTATCTTTCTTTTTTTTTTTAAGGCAAGCAAGGAACTTTTGTATAAACACGTAAACACAATCTGGCTCTTTGTTACTGTGCCCTGTTTGTTTTGCCAGCAAAACGTTCTTTCCAAAGGCAACGGGGGACGCAGGTGGGTAGACTGCTTCTGAACATGGAGGTACCATTTCGCGCGAATGAAGCAAGATCCTTTTACTCTCCAGAATGGACCTTTGACTTTTTATATAAAACAAGGAGGGGCAGCCTGTCGAAAACACACACGGACCCCACCTCCAAGATGGTGGTGGATTTCAACTCCCCGCAGCCAGGAGGACCAATGGTTAGGGACGGTGGGAGGTGGAGTTCTGAAAGATCAGGCCAAAGGGGGCCCATTTGGTCCAGTGTCCTGTTCTCACATGGGTCCAATGCCCCATAGCACCTTGGAATTGAGGTAGACTGCCTCTGCACCTGGAGGTTCCATAAGAACAACACCAGAAGAGCCAAAATGGGTCCAATCCAGCCCAGCATCCTTCTCCGCCAGGGGCCAGCGAATGCTGCCGGTAAGCGCAGGCGTGGCTGAGCTAGATGGAGCTGGCTGTGCGCAATTATGGCAGCTTCTTTTGTCCCTGCTTAAATCACGCCTTTATTTGGGACCATGAGGACTAGATTCTTGGGTTCTTTTCTTTAAGAAAAGGGACACAGCTTAGCAGGCAGAAGGTTCCCGGTTTGACCCCTGCTGGCATCTCCAGGTAGGCCTGGCAGAAAATCCACTCCGAAACCCCGGAGAGCCTATGCTGCCAGTCAGTGCAGACAGCGCTGAGTTGGATAGTCCTCCATGTGCCAGATTCTCCGCCCCGTTTCCTCCCCAGGACCCGCACCCAGCACCCACGTCCCCAGCAAGAGCGCCCCCGGGAGAGCCAGGACGGGTCCTTAGCGAGGGAGACGTTTCCGCTTCCCGTTGTAATCAGATTCCGAGTCAGCAATTACATCTCAAACTCTTTCGTTCGGCTGCCCTAATGGAGTGAGGGGTCGGAAAATGAATCCGGACAGAAAACCTGACTAGATTTTTGCCTTTAATTGTGGAATGACATTTCGGAGGATCAAAGCTAATTTGCCTGCTTTCTTTGAAAGCGTCCGCCCAAGAGACGGGCAAAATAATTACTGAGCCTGAGCCAGTCACGGCAGCAGCACCCAGGGCAGGGGAGGGGGCCGAGGCGAGGAGGGTCTGTCGCCCCTCCGAAGCCCCATTTGCAGAACGAGGGAGAAGCCCTCCAAAGCCTCGGAGGGTGAGGAGTCAAAAGCAGGTGGAAGGTCTGCGAAAGGGATGGGATGGATCTGCGGAACTCATGGCCACTGGGTGCTGCTCTTCTCTTGGGAAACTGCAGTGTGGCACAGCAAGCTGCCTGAGGGTGGCTGACCTGTCACTCTCCAGATATTGCTGAAGGCCCCTGCTCCGAATGGCCCCCTAGCCTGTGGGGCCGCTGGTGAGAAATGAAGGGAGCTGGGAGCTCACAGATTAGCCACCCCTGGGCTCAAAAGCAACATTTCGGTGGCTGACTGCAGGGCCTGTGTCTGTCTCTCAGCCTGGTCTACCTCGCAGGGTCGTCGAGAGGATAAAACGAGGAAAGGGGTGAACCTTGATTTGACGAGGCGAGATAAAAACCAAATAATACATAAAATACATTTTACAAATGTAACAGGAGACAGAAAAATCCTTCTCCCATCCGACCCGGGGATGGAGTTAAAGAACTTCCACCCTGTCGGCCGATAAACCGTCCCGAGAGGTCGCCACGAAGGTTAAACTCTGCACGACTGACCCTTTGCAAAAATGGACCCCCTGCAGGCATCACCAACATGGCGCCCTCCTGATGGGACTACAACTCCCATCAGCCACTGCCAGGATAGGGGGTGCTTCCCATCAGACACAGAGCAAGGCAATCTATGCTGGCAGCGCCTGATGGGAGTTGTAGTCCACAGCCAAGAGTCACCTCCGTTGCCCCACCCGACAAAAGCATGCGGCCCCCAGGAAGCTGCTCACCAGGGAATGTGGCCCCTGGGGGGCAAAAGGCGAGCCCTCCAACCAGAAGAAACAGAGGCTTTGGCACGCTGTGGGGTCCAGAAGGAGCCAGAGCTACTCATCGCTCTCCAAATCCCGAGACGTAACCCTCCGAGTGGCCGTTGGCGGTACGAGGTCCCGCTCCGGCAAGCGCCATCCATCAACGCCGGAGACTCCGCAACGGCACCTAATAGTTGACGTGCGCCTTCCTTGCTGCCAAATTTAATTAAATTTGGAGGGACGCTCAGGAGCGTCGCTGGATGGATCCAGACCGCTGCGTCTGGTCTGGCAGCCTCTCTCCAGAGATTTGGGGAGGGGTCATTCCCAGCCTCACCCAACAGATGTCAAACAGAGACCCCCTTTTGCCCCCCAGAGTCTCAGGGCGTCTTATAAGACCCCGAAGCACCTCTCCTCCTCAAAGATGCCCCTCGGATGCTGCTCTGCGCTTGGCCAGGGCAGAGACACAACGGGGAACCTCCCCGGAGGACAGGCCCGCCCTGTGGTGCCAACATCAAGAGCAAGCAGCCGAATGGCGCCCGATACTTAGAGGCAATCCTCCATCTGTTGGTGGAAGACGGCCACCAGGACAGAACTGTGCATCACACAGGGGTACAGCAGGCGGCCTCCGCATCTCCTCTTGCTGCTGCTGGAATCCCAGCCTGCCCTGACTCACGAGGCAATCCAGTCGCTGGTGCCCATCGGGAGCAGCAGAGTTCAGCTTTCAGGGGGCTGGACTAGAGGACCTTGGGGGGTCCCTTCCAACCCCACAATTCTGTACGTCTCTGAACTCCTAGGAAGGCGGCCCCAACCTGGCTGTGCTTGTGAACAGGACTATCCCAAACCTATCCAGCTCCCCCGGGAGGAGGGGAAACTGGGGGAGGTTGGCCACAGTGGCGGCAAAAAACCCTCCATCATTTTGGTTGGGGGGCTGGCCAGAAAAGCCCCCTCCCCTCCCTGTCCACCCCCTCTCCTCCCAGAGTGTGGGGGGGCGTTATTTATTTCCCTCTGTCTCCCTGCTGCGCCGTTCACAGCGCATTAAGCATTTCCATTACCTCTCATAATTAGGTGTGCGGGAGGCAGGGGCCGGCTAATTCGCTGTCCTTAAAGAAAATTAATGGGGTTGCCGCATCAGGCCCAGAGTCGTCTGTCTTCCCCCAAAGTGCCATGTTCTCCCCCCCACACACACACTCTCTCTCTCTGGCCCCACATCTGGGGGGCAAAGACCCAGCCAGGCCTTCCACAGACAGGAGTCGATCCAGGACCAAAAGGTGAATGGCAGAAGCAGCCAGAAATTCTCAAAAACTTCCGTCAATAAGGGAAGGATTTGCTGAATAATCGATTAGAAATTGGAATACAGAAAAGGGAGGTATGAGGAAGTCGGGGAGGTAAATTATAAGAAAATAAGATTTGAAGTTGTACTTGTTTTTTGTTTGTTGTGTCTATTGTATTGTTTTGTTTTGTTTTTGCTGTTATAAAAATTACGGAAACTTTAATAAAAAAAATTATAAAAAACAACAACAAAAACTTCCGTCAAGATTTCCAGACGTCACACGGGGGTTCTGCAGGGCGAGGGCATGGGGCTTGCAAATATGCCCCCCTCCACCCCACTGATACCTGGCCCCTGGGACCTTCCCCGACCCCCACCCATAGGACATTACCGCCACCAGCCAAGCTTTGTGAAGCGGCATTCCTGAAGCTCCCAACCCAAAGGTCAAGGGCGAGGCACTCTGCGTCTGCTCAGAGGGCCCCTTCTCCTTTGTCCCTTCAGCTCGGAGTTGTCAGGGCAGGAAACCTGAGCCCCCGATCCCATTAGGGATGCTGCGGGAGGTTAACCCAGATCAATTCCCCCAGATGAACTATCCCACATGATTTCTGGGTCCTGCGAGATTCTCCATAGCACAAAAAGGTAGAACCCACGAGACTCATCTCTTGAATTACGGCACGAAAACTGCGTGGAACTTGGCCGTTGCCCAGAAAATAGCCTGTAACGTCTGAGTCACAAAAGGAAAAGAACCCGTGCGAGGTTTTTGGTCAGCAAAACTCACTTGCCTACACAGTCATACCTTGGTTTTTGAACAGCTTAGTTCTCGAACGTTTTGGCTCCTGAACGCCGCAAACTCGGAAGTGACTGTTCCGGTTTGCAAACTATTTTTGGAAGCTGAACGTCCGATGGGGGTTCCGATTGGGTGCAGGGGCTTCCTGAATCCAATCAGAATCCGCACTTTGGTTTCCAAATGTTTTGGAAGTTGAACGGACTTTCGGAATGGATTCCGTTCGACTTCCAAGGTACGACTGACCGGAAAAGGGACAGAGGAATAGGACCCTTTGAGGACCCAGATACGGCTAGGCTCACCTGCATAACGGAGACACAGCTCAAGGCTGACTTTCTGCATTTGTGTGTGACTTTTTGCTGAGCATTATTGCAGTCTGTAAAACGTGGTCCGTAATACCATTGATCTTGCCAAACCATAGATACATGCATCTTCCTCTGGCCCAGATGCAACGAAACATGTCTCTCCTGCATCGGCCTCTAGAGCCACACCAGGTGCCGCAACCCTCCAGCGATTTTACTTCAGCCCCAAAGGCACCCATGTCCACTGTGTCCCAAAACATCTATCTAGCCAAGAGCCCCAATCCCAAGCAAGGCCCACGCGAGGGGTCCTACTCACATGATGGCGTCCGTGGCCTGGGCCAGGCGGGGAGCTGTGCACCCCAGCAGCTCCCCGGGTGAGAGAGGTTTGCACTGCGGGGTGCAGATGGAGTAGTCGGCTTGGAGCGCCTGCCGGGCAGCCTGTCAAGGGGGCGGGAGGGAGGAGGACGCAGAAACACAGGGGCTGAGATTAATAACGGTTGTTCTCACCGGTGTCAGTACATCTACACCCCAACTTAAGGAGTTTCGCGATATAAAATCAACACACCAAACCACCTATCAATGCAGAGATATTGTCAAAGGAAGAGACCTCAAATTATTATCTTGGCAGCTCAAATAGTTGCTTGTGACTCAACAGGAAACAGCCCAAAATCTGACACTGGGAGCTTGGTACCACCAGTTTTGGAACAGAGCAATAATGGAGGAAATAATGGATTCTGACGAGGACTAGAGCTTCCCGGCACTTTTAATATGGCTTGTCCTTCCGTTCTTACAAATGTAGAAGAATGATCCTTTTCAAGTCGACCCTCATTGCAAGGCTGCCAAATCTGGAACCAAACTGGATCATCAGATAAATGCTGGCATTCTTCACTTGGACTTCCTCATTTTAACCCGCCTACAACTGTACACATTCTCCCTACCTGTTTCATGGCTTTGTTTCCCATCATTCCAATTTTGTCCGTTGCCCTAACCGTTCTCTCCTTTTATATACGTTATAAAAATCAAAAGAAAAGGGACTTGACCGGGAACACACACACACACCCCAAAGACGTGAAAAATCCTAAAATTACTTTTGAGAGCTCCAGTTCCCCAAAGCTGGGTCCATGGCCATCTTCCTGACCGGGAAAGAGAGGTGCTCTGGAGGCTCAGCACCACGCTGGATGGGAGCTGGGCACATGACTGTCACATTGTGTGACGAGGAGGGCTCTCCCCTCCAAAATAAAACCCAAAACGTCACCCCTGGGAACCGGGCTGGACCACGTGGGGCTCAGCAAGGCATCAATTAAAAGGGCAGGCGTTGTGTCCGCCTCCTTAACGCTCCAATGCTGCCGTGTTCAGACGGCTCCGGCGCCCGGCGCCCATCCATCTCTGCCCACCCAGGCGCTCTGCAGGCCCTGCTGGGACCCCTCCCCGCCTGCCACCCGCTTTGTGACGCTCGCTGGGGCTGTCTTGGGTGACAGTAACAGAGTGGCTGTCAAACGGGGATGTGGTGAGAAAAGCGGCAGACAGGAGCTCAGACAGTCATCCCGGGATGTTAGAGAGCTCGCCGATCCAGCCAGTTAAAAAACGGGTTTCGGAGAAAGCAGGGAGGAGAATCATATGAATGCAGTTGGATGGGACCCCCCATGGTCATCCAGTCCAGCCCCCTGCAAGGAAGGAATCGCAGCTGAAGCATCCCTGGCAGGTGGCCGTCCAGCTTCTGGTTAAAAACCTCCAAGGGGGGTGTTACGGAAATTACAAGGGGGGCCCCCACATCTTTAAAGTTGTTCAATGTTACAAATATTATGCATAAATGTATCCTTTCGACTAGGGACGCGGGTGGCGCTGTGGGTTAAACCACAGAGCCTAGGGCTTGCTGATCAGAAGGTCGGCGGTTCGAATCCCCGCGACAGACTGAGCTCCCGTTGCTCGGTCCCTGCTCCTGCCAACCTAGCAGTTTGAAAGCACATCAAAGTGCAAGTAGATAAATAGGTACCGCTCCAGCGGGAAGCTAAATGGTATTTCCATGCGCTGCTCTGGTTCGCCAGAAGTGGCTTAGTCATGCTGGCCACATGACCCGGAAGCTGTATGCTGGCTCCCTCGGCCAATAAAGCGAGATGAGCGCCGCAACCCTACAGTCGGTCACGACTGGACCTAATGGTTAGGGGTCCCTTTACCTTTACCCTTTCGACTTGACAGCTCAGGGAAGTTACCAAGCTTTAACAATCATATAAAATCAACTCCTTTGCCAGTTCCCTCCATTTCAACACTATTTTGCCCTTGGGAAAAACGACCCTTTTCCCTTCCACTTCCCCAAGAGAGGACATGTATACACACCTCCTACCCCAGGAAGTGCCCAGAGGTGACAATTGCTGAGCTGATTGTTAGCCAAGGAAAGCCGAATCCCATCACCAGACTTGCCAAGGGGTCCAGACATGCAAGTTCTATTGTACTTTGGGTGGTGGGACTTCAGAGGTGTTTGCCTATGCTAATATTATACCTGGGTCTTGCCCTGACATGTCTGCTAATGCTAATTTTGAACCAAGGACTTGTCTGGACATGTTTGCCAAGGTTAAACTAGTGTAACCCCTGTCTACCCCTCCCCTTTTGTGACATGTCAGTGATGCTGTACGAACTGTATTCTGGGATATGGTGGGAAAGTTTCAAAAGTCTTTGTCACCCCATCCTTGGGGTTCAAAATTTGCTCTTTGAACCTATCACGCAATAAACTTTGTTCTACAGCTATTGGCTCCATTTGGCTGGACTCCTTCCTTTATTCCGCAGGGACCCGCGGGCTCTGCCCGACCAGCTGGGTGACTGAGCAGCCTCACACCTAGTTTTTTCCGTAACACTGGGGAAAAGGCTTCCCTGGTGTGGCTCTTCAGGGTCTCCACAAAGCATAGGGGGCCCCCTGTACCCTGAAATTCCAGCGCCATGCAAGGCAGGTGAGACACGGAGCCATCTTCAAATATCGGAAGGGAGATGGAGGAAGGCTGCTTCCTGCCGCTCTGTGAGGGAGGACCTGAGCCAATGGATTCAAATCACAAGAAAGGAGATTCCGACTCAACATCAGGAAGAACTTTGTGCTCGAGAGTGGGACGGTCTCCCTCGGGAGATGGTGGCCTCTCCTTCCTTGGAGATTTTAAAGCAGAGATTGGATGGCCATCTGTCAGGGATGCTTTAGCAAAGATTCCTGCATTGCAGCAGGTTGGGATAGATGACTTTTGGGTACCATTCTATGATTCTACAATCTAGTCCAGGGATCAGCAAACTTTTTCAGCAGGGGGCCGGTCCACTGTCCCTCAGACCTTGTGGGGAGGAGGACTATATATTTGGGGGGGGGGGAATGAGTGAATTCCTATGCCCCGCAAATAACCCAGAGATGCATTTTAAATAAAAGGACACATTCTACCCATGTAAAAACACGCTGATTCCCGGACCATCCGCGGGCCAGATTTAGAAGGCGATTGGGCCGGATCCAGCCCCCGGGCCTTAGTTTGCCTACCCATGATCTAGTCCGTCTTCCTTTCCCCAATGGGAAGCCCCCAAACAGGGCCTGGGCGCAGCAGCAACCCTCTTGCAGTTGTGATTCCCAGTACAGTGGTACCTCAGGTTAAGTACTTAATTCATTCCGGAGGTCCATTCTTAACCCGCAACTGTTCTTGACCTGAAGCACCACTTTAGCTAATGGGGCGTCCCGCTGCCACCGTGCCGCCGGAGCACAATTTCTGTTCTCGTCCTGAAGCAAAGTTCTTAACCTGAAGCACGATTTCTGGGTTAGTGGAGTCTGTAACCTGAAGCGTATGTAACCTGAAGCGTCTGTAACCCAAGGTACCACTGTATCTGGTGTTCGGGGACATCCTCCCTCCCACAGCACTGACAAAGCCTAGCCCTGGTGGCTAGACGCCACGGACATCCTCACTCTCCTCCATGAATAAAGAGGAGTCCACCTTGAAAACCACCAGTGGCTCCTGCAGAGGAGAGTTCCACAGTTTAACAATACGCTGTCTGAAGAAAGATATGCACACAAGACTCCCAGCGCACACAATATTGTGATTTATTTCCCTATTCTTACCTGCAGCGCCGAGACGAACTGGACGGTGCTGACGAGGGCCAGCGCGGCCCCTGCAGGGAAGTTGAAGCGCAGGGTCTCCACAAAGTGTGCTGTGTCAATCTTGATGTCCACAAAGACGTAGAGCATCTTCACTCCCTGCGTGGAGTCGATGGGAACTGGAGGGAGAGGGTAGAGAAAATGACAGGGCGTGTTTTTGGGGGGTGGGCACCAGGGAGAGAAGCACGCTGATCCTCCATCCAACAGATTTCAGGTCTGATAAATTTTCTTACTCAGCAGCAAACCCCACCAGCCCAAGGCAGGGAGATCCCACACCGCCACAATCGCAACATGCTCAAATGCTGGATGAAAGAAGTGGCAAAGTGTGACTTCCCTGCTGCCCAGTCCCAGCAAAATGAAAAAGACAACAACCTCCATCAGGTTTCTAGCCCATGTAGAAGGAACGTCTCCACCCCCATCGTTCTGCCCGGACGCTGAGGTCCAGCACCGAGGGCCTTCTGGCGGTTCCCTCATTGCGAGAAGCAAAGCTACAGGGAACCAGGCAGAGGGCCTTCTCGGTAGTGGCACCCGTCCTGTTGAACGTCCTCCCATCAGATGTCAAACAACTATCTGACATTCAGAAGACATCTTAAGGCAGCCCTGTTCAGGGAAGTTTTTAATGTGTGACATTTTAGTGTATTTTTGGTCTCTGTGGAAGCTGCCCATGGGTGGGGTATAAATAATAAATTATTATTATTATTATTATTATTATTATTATTATTATTATTATTATTATGTGGGGTGCAGGGAGAGCCAAGCAGAGCAGGAAAGTAGCTCTGGCTACCCAGCCACCGCTGCAAAAAGCACATCCACACAGACGCTGACTCCGGCCCCTTTGCAGGTCAAAACACAGAGCAGAAAAGCATAATAATGAAGAATGAATTGCTGGCTGCGATTCCTGTGCTGCAGGGGGCTGCACCCTTGGGGTCCCTTCAGTCTCTACAATTCTATGATTCCGTGATTCCTTAATGCATTTAATGGTTCTACTGAGGGAGACGCTGGCATAAAGACACCAGATTGCCAAGAGAGGGGACTCCCCACGACTCAAGGAACTGGGCATTCCACACCTTCCAGGAAGAGACGGATTCTCCTCCCCAAACTGCGCACCGCACAAAGGGATTTCATTCCAGAAGGAGCACCTCCCACCGCTCCTCTGCGTGAGTGTCTGTTCTGCGACGGAAAGCCATTTCCGCCCCTGTCCTTGCAGTGGGTGCGACTTCAGCATCCCTCCCAACATGACAGAATTGCCTGCCCTCCGAGGAGGCTGAAAAACCACCACCTCCTGAGGGAGTCCGCTACACTGTCTCTACATTCAAAATCCTCTAGAACTTTTCTTTTGGTGGGGGGTCCCTCCTGGCCCCCGTCTTAGCCAAAGGAACGGGAGCCCACTCAAAAATTTAAGCACAGAGACGCAAGCCATGCCAAAGCTGTGCCTCCACCTGCCATGCATTCTTTATCTGCACTTCCTGCATTGCAGGGGGTTGGGCTAGATGACCTCTGGGGGTCCCTTCCAACCCTGCAATTCGCCAAGGAGGCTCTTCCGAGCAGCGGTTTGGGTGCTTCGCTTTGGATGGCTTTTCAATCTCACCGCCAGAGAGAGAGAGGGGGGGGAAGGAGAGACGGACGGCATGCGGCGTCAATTAAACCTCTCCTAAACGGAACTCGGGACTTGGCTGCCGCACGTCTGCCTGCCCGCAACACCCCTGCAGTGCTGGCGCTCTAGGGCCACTAGCTCAGGGAAGGGAGAGGGGCTGCACTGCCAGCCCCCCCCCATATCCCACTACACTGCCTGCTAACAGTGAGAAGCCCCCAAGGGACTCAGGCTGCCCTTTAGGTGTACCACTTGGCAAGGGTGGGGTGTCCGTGCATAATGCAACCCCACCCCCCCACCCCAGCTTGCCCTGCTCCTCTTGGCGCACTGAAAATCGTGGTTGCGGGGGGCGGAGAGGGAGGTGTGTGTGTGTGCAGAATACAGACTGCTCCTTCTTCTGCGAAGGCCGCCCCTGACCTGGAAAAGTGGCACAGGGTTGTGATGGGGGGGGGAGAGACAGAAGCCAGGAAAAGCGGGAATAAAATAGGTAAGAGAGATGCCTCCCCCCTTCCAATCCACCTGCGCCAGGGGGGTCTTACAGCCTCCTCCTCATCCACCCGCTTCTCCCCCCCCTCCAATGATCGCCCACCCCCCACTCCATCACTGTGACCCCCCCCCACGCACACACCCAGCAACAGCCCTAGCAACAATGCCCAAAAAAAATCAGAGAGCTGGGCCAGAGGGAGGAGAGAGGATGAAGGCTCAGGGAAGCTCCACCCCCCTCCCTCCGGGGCGATAATTCTGCAGATCCACCTTAAAAGCTAACATGGCCCCTTTTTTCCTTTTCTATCTCTCCCTCCCTCCCTCTCCCTCCCCCTTTCCTTTCCTTTCCCTGTTATTTTGAGCCGGATTCCATCCTGGGCGGACTTCAAAGTTAGCAGCATCTGGGACAGGAGCGCTGCAGTTGCCATAGCAACAGCATCCAGAGAACCGTTTCCGCCTAGGGAGATGCAAGGCAGCGGCAGCAGCAGCCAGCCCTCTTTTCGGGTTTCCTGGCCTCCCCTCCCCCACCCAGCCAAGCCTTCCTCCTCTTCCTCCTCCAGTGCAGCAAAGCCCCCCCCAACCCCAAAATACTCTCCATGGGGCAAAGCGGGGCCACAGCCCGTCCCCAGAAGCTCCCGAAATCAAGGACGCTGTGAAACAAAAGGAAAAACAGGAGAGGAAAGGAGGCAGGCAGGGCAGAAATAATTGTGCTCCAGACTCCAGAGTTCCCTTTATATTCAGAGGCTGCCTTTCCTCCAAGGAGCTCAAGGGGGCGCCCAAGGACCTCCTGCCCACCACTCCCTGGTTTGTCCTCACTGCAACCCTGCGAGGAAGGCCAGGCAAAAAGGATGGATGGATGGGTGGATGGGTGGGTGGGTGGGTGGAAGGGAGGGAGGGAGGGAGGGAGGAAGGGAGGGAGGGAGGAGGAGGCCCACCCAAGGTGACCCACCCTGCAAACTACAGTCATACCTTGGGTTACGAACGTTGCAGGTTGCACATTTTCGGGCTGCAGGCCGCGCCAAACCCGGATGTAACGGAACGGGTTACTTCCGGGTTTTGGCGCTCGCACATGCGCAGGAACACAAAATGTCACGCGCATGCGCAGAAACGCCAAATCGCGTCACGCACGTGTGCCATGGGTTGTGAACGCTGCGGGTTGCAAACATGCCTCCTGCACGGATCACGTTCGCAACCCGAGGTATGACTGTACAAGGCCGAGTGGAGATGTGAGCCCCCAGTCTCCCCAGTCTGGCACTCTTTAACTGCCGCACCACGACTAGACCTCCAATTCCCGGGCGGAGAGACTGGCCCAGGCCTGGCCCTTGCCTCCTTCGTACCCAGGCAGCTGTGGCCGTAGTGGACCAGGAAGTCGGCTCCCAGCGCCCGGGCGGTGAAGTCGTCCACGCAGCAGGCCCCGTAGGTCACATCGCCCATCACCACGGCCTCGGCCTCTGTGAACCTGCAAGAGAGGAGAGGAGAGGAGGTGGGCTGAGGAAAGAGGGAGCCACTCTGCCCCACTTCCCAGCTTTGGGGCCCAGCCAGGTGCTGCTGGGGAACAGTGGCAGGTGCAGCGCTGGACCGGAGAAGACCCGGATGAATCCCCACATGCTCAAGCCGGTCGCCATCTTCTGGCCTCAGTTCTCCCAGACGGGAAATGGGAACAGGCACATCTTAACACCACCAGAAGAGTCCATGGCCCATCTGGCCCAGTATTCTGACAGTGGCCAACCACATGCCCCAATTGCAAAAGGCTCCTTCTCCTCCTGCGGTTTCGGCATTAATGGTCTCCGGCCACACAGGCAGAGCGTCGCCATCCTGGCTAGTCGCTCATTGACAGGCGTCTCCTCCTTCGTGAGTTTGCCCAATCCCCTTTCACAGCCACCCAGGTTGGCAGCCATCATTGTGTCTCCTGTGGGAGTGAGTTCCACAGGTTAACTCTGTGCTGGGTGAAGAAGCCTTTTGATCTATCCCGAATCTTCCAACGGTCAGCTTTGCCGGATGCCCACGAGTCCCAACTTCCTTTCTAGGGGCTTCTTGCAAGGGCAGCAAAGATCCGGATGTATTGTGACTCCTCCATTGCAGGGGGTCAGACTACATGACCTTTGGGGGTCCTGTCCAACTCGACGATTCTAGGATTTTTAAAGGAAGAGGCCCCTGGGGCAGCAAGTTAGGAGGAAGTTGCCCCTGTGGCAAGATGGTCAAAGGCACCTCCGCAGCCACCCCACACCCCATAGGGGAGGCAACCCCACCCTCTCCCTCCGCCAGCTGGAAGACCCCCGGCAGGCTGCCCCCTCCCTCCGCTGCCCCAGCAGCCAGGCCACTCCAGAGATGTCAACATGATTAAACTGGAGTGTGCTAATCCACCTCCTCAATTGGGGAAAGCTGTTTGCAATTCAGGGGATTAGGCGCTCATCAAAAAATGAGGCTGCGCTTCTCCGAGGCAGAAGATGCAGGAGGGAGAGAGAAGCAGGAGAGGCAGGCAGAACACCCACAGCCAGCCCCACAGCACCAGAAAGGGGGCAGCCCCACGCAGAGAAAAAGCCCAGGACGGGAAGGCACATCCTTGCTCCGGCTAGAGCAGGGACTGCGGCCTGCAGGAGATCTCGCTCCCCTGGACGGAGTGGGACAATCGTACTGCTCATCGGCAGCAGGAGCCGACCGGTTGGGGGGGGGCTGACGCTGTGGGGCAGGAGGTTCCCCGCCTGTGTGACGACTGGTCTTCCCATTCCACAGACGGGGAAAACCGAGGCCAAGGAAACGCGGCAACAAGGAAGCGGCAGAGATGGGGCGTGAAGTCGCAGGGAGAGTTTTAAGGGACCAAAATGATCACCGGAGGCAATCCCACACTGCTTGTGGGAACACTGGTGGCCGAGGGGGACGGGCAGAGCTTTTAGTCACTAAGGATTCCTAAACGGAACCTCCACGGGCAGGGCCAGTCTACCTTAGCATGCGGGAGAACAAGAGCGGGAGGAGGCTGCTGCTCTCAGGTCCTGCTTGCCGCAGGTTCCCTTTGGGGACATCTGGCCGGCCACAGAGGGGCTTCTTCACGCAGCACACGGATAACCTGTGGAACTCCCTCCCACCGGATGTCCACCCACCTAGATGGCTCGAAAAGCTAATTAGAAAAATCCATGGAGGAGGAGGAAGGAGGAGAGGGCTCCCAGGTCCTGCTGATGGCTTCCTACTGGGGCATCTGGCTGGCCAGGGTGGGACCTGGTGGGCCCCACCTTGGCCCAATCCAGCTGCAGCCAGCTGCTCTTCTGGTGCCCCTCGCCCCCTTCACCCAGCACAAAATCTGCGATTATCTGGGCGCTGCAGGGGAAGGAAGCCAGCTGGATGCACCAAGGGTGCACGCGAGGGCGCCGAGGCCCTGATCCTCCTGCCCCTGCAAGAACCTGGCCGTCGCCCCCTGCACCCGCCAAGGCAGGCAGCACCCGGCAGGCCAGGGACTCCCCCGTTGGCGGGGGCTGCAGCTGCCAGTGCTCCCGCCGCCCCTACGGAGCGGACGCCTCGCAGTTCAGCTCCACCGGTTCTTCTCCCGTCAAAATGTCACACGATAAACAGATCATTAACTCTGATTGGAGAAGGCCGCAGGGCACTATTCTGCTAACAGCCTCCCTCCTTCCTTCCTTTCTGCCTTCCTTCCCAGGGCGAAAGGCAGGCAGCGGCGGCAGCAAAGGGGGGGGACGGAGGAAGGGGCTGCGGCGAGGGGGGGGCAGAAGTGCCGCGTTTGGGGCTGTGGTGGGGATCCAATGAGGACTAGCACCTGGGAGGCGTCAAATCCCCCAGCTCAGCCTGAAGCTCACCTGGCCTCGCTCAGCCTGACTACCTTGCAGGGTTGTTGTGGGGACCAGGTTTGCTGGGAAGAACCCTGCCTGCCACGTTGGGAAAAACGGCGGGATATAAATGCAATTGATGATAATAATTGCAGGGAGAGGTGGGTGATCTGCTGGGGGGGGGGCAAGGAGAGGTCTTTCAGCTCAGCAGCGACTGGGGGGTGTCGTGTGTTGGGGGGGGGCTGACAGACAAAGCGGGAGAGAGATTTGGCGGCTGGGCCACGCAGGTGCCAGACTCCACCTGCGAGAAGGCTGCGAATTTGGAAAGCCGAAAATAGCAGCCGCCTTCAAGACGCCGCAGCGCCCTGGCTGGGCTGCCTGGGAAGCCAAACTCTGCAGCCCCGCCTGAGATCTATGCAAATCCAGCAGGGCGGCATTTGCATGCGCTTCTCCTGCCCCTTCGTTTCCTCGTGAGGAGGGCGAGCGAAGGAAGGGAGAAGCCCGGCTGCTGCGCCATCAGCCCCGGAGAGGTGGCCAAACCCGCCTCCGATCCCACAGCTTTGGCCAGCAGTTGCCCTTCCTGCGACCGCCTAGAGGGCGAGTCCCTTGCTGCTTCTTGGAATCGCAGAATTCTGCAGTTGGAAGGGACCCCCGGGGCTCATCCAGTCCAGCTCAGGAAGCCTCCGTAGAGCTCAGTTCCTGCCTGAGAGTTGCTCACTGTGAAGGCAGGAGACTCTTCTGATTATGAAACCTCCCAGTTCAGGGGCAGTCTATCTCGATTCCTGTTCTCCGAGGGGTATTTGGCCCCTGTGAGACGAAGACAACTGGACCCAATGGGCCGCTGGCCTGATCCAGCAGGCTTATGCCCTTACGGAGGGACGGAGAGGTGAGAACGGCTCCCAGCCCCCCCATGCCAACTCGGTGGGCACCTTGGCATGCGAGATGCGCCTCTCTGCCTCCTTTGATCCTCCTTATCTCCCCGTCCTGCCTTGTTCTGCGAGTGGGGAGAGAGGGCTTTAAAGTTTCTGCCAGAGAGGCTCCTTTCATGCCCAAGATCTCTGCCAAGACCGGAGACTTGCGCACGCCGCGCCGTTCCTGGTGAGTTGGCCTGGCGCACTCTGCTTAACTCTCGCCCGCCCTCCCCAGCGGACAAGCAGCCGGTTCCAAGGGCGACATATCTGGGAAAGAGACATCGAGTACCCGCCCCAAAGGAAGCACCACGTTCGAATCCTGTGTTGGGTTTGGGCTGTGTCAGGATGACGGGCTGGGAGGAATCGCCCCCCCAGCCTCCGCCGGCACTCACTCAGCAAAGTGGGCGGCTCTGCCGAGCTGAGAAGATCTGAGTGGGCGGCACCCACCGCACCATGATCGCCCCCTCCTTCCACGCACCCACACGTCCTCCCCCCCCCCCTTTATGGCCTCCTGAATATTTCACTCAGAGTAATCTCTGGAAGAGAGGTTTCATATGAAAGGCAGGAGCGGCACAAGAGCCCAGGAGGGGATTTGGGGAGGGGGGGTGAGAGATACAGTAGAGAGAAAATGCGGCCGCCAGGATGCTCACTCGCATGGCAATCACCGCAGGAAGCCAGGCGGATCCGAGGCAGAGTCTGGACGCTGCTTTGGCAGAACGGCTACGTCCGTCCGCTCCCAGCTCCACGGACGGACGTTCTCCCCACGCCACTCCCAGAAAGGCTTTTCAGGGCAGGGTTCCTTGGAAAGCAGGCTGGAGGAGGGGGCTAAGAATGGCTACTAGCCAGGATGATGGCTCTGCTCTGCCACCGAAGGCCAGGGATGCTTTGGGGTACCCGTTGATGGAAACTGCAGGAGGGGAGGGGGCTCCGGTGCCCCTGCTTGTGGGCATCTGGTTGGCCACGGGGAGGGGGAACGGGAGGCTGGACTCGATGGGGCCCCACCTGGGGCCCGATCCAGCTGCCAGGCTCTTCCGATGGTCTCAAGAGGGGGGCGGGGAAGAGAACGGAGGTTTGTGTCTTGCCGGTTTGGATTTCCCCCTCATTTAAGAGTGGCAATGAGGGGCATTTGAAAGGACCGTTTGCAATCTCTGGGAAACAGAAAGGTTGGGTCAAGGGAAACATGCGGGCAAAACCTGGCAGGCGCCCTGAGGTTTCTGCATCCAGACCAGCGGAAGCCACGCCTGGGCAGAGCAACCAGGTTGTCCCGTCCAGATGTTCCGAACTGCAACTCCCATCAGCCGTGATGGAGGGAACTGCAGTCCAGAACGCCCAAGGGGCGCCAGGTCGACAAAGGCTCATTTGCAGGGCTGGCTGAGAGCAAGGGGCTTGGCGACCACAAGAAGGGGATCCTGGGGGTGGATGCGACCATCTCCCCTTCCTGGGTGGTAGAGTGCCTTTAAAGCTGGAGGTTCCACCAAGGCACTCGGCTGCAGATAAGGCCTCACTTGTAGGAGAAGGGAAAGCACAGGACCAGTGGCATTTGCAAGAGAGCAGCCCCCTGGTTGGGGCAATTTGGCCCTGCAATGTGGGCCCCCAGCCCCCTCCTCCTCCTTTTCCCCCTCCCCCTCCTCCTCCTCATCTGCCTGCAGCACCAAGGATCAGAGGCAGCTGCTGCCAGGGAAAGTCATGCTTCAGGTTTCATTCAGATAAAAGGATCGCCATAATCAGCTGCCTTTGAAGTCGGAGACATGAAAGCGGCCCCATGCTGGGAGGGAGGCCAGCTCCCTTAAAGGGCCAGCAGCACACCAGCCGGGGACTGGCTGCAGCTGCGGCAGGAAAGGAAAAGGGACCTGCCCCCCCCTTAAAACAAGACCAGCCACTGCATTGGGCCAAAGGGGGACCATCTAGTCTACCCTCCTGTCCTCACAGGGCCCCTAAGGGACCCCCCTGAGCAGGACATGGAGGCAACAGCGACTCTCCTGCTCCCAAAACCCCAAAGAGCTGCTGCCAGCCAGTGCAGACAGCACTGAGCAAGGTGGGACAATGACCACCTCAGCCTCCTCCATTCCTGTTCAAGCCAGCCCCTCACTTAGAATAAGGAGGACTAGAGTACTGATAGGGTGGTTCACTGGCAGAGCCCCTGCCTTGCATGCCAAGCTCCTGAAGGTTCAATCCTGGAGAGCCGTGGCTGCCGGTCCGTGCGGACAATACTACGCTAGATGGGCAAACGGCCTGACTCAGCAGAAGGCAGTTTTCACTACGTTCCTTTTTAACTGGACGCTTTATTCAAGCCAGGTTTGCTCTGGGGGTAAGACAAGGTACCTGCACCACGACGGAAAGTTATCCCACCAGAAAAGGGAGTTATATGCCACACCTTGTGGCACCTGGAAGGGGGTGGCAGCCTGGCCACAGTCCTGCTCCCTGGTCTGGATGCGGGGGCCCTCCAGACAACCCCCTCCAGCTCACGGGGCCACCCAGTAAAGGTGCCAGGAAGAAGGGCTGTATTTTCAAATGAAATTAAAAAAAATTGGCAGCCCTGCAAATGAGTCTAGGATGCCCTGAGGCTCTGCAAACAGGGGCAGATCCTGTCAGCTCCCCGTTTGACCCTCAAACCAGCCAAGCCAGGCGCAGAAGTGGCCACCCGTAGGAAGGGACCTGACACCTGCAGTCGGGCCACTGGCTCATCTAGCTCAGTATGGCCTGCACTGGCTGGCAGCAGCAGCTTTCCATGGCCTTCCCCTAAAAAGGACGTTTCTAGTACCTTGCAGCTCTGCAGAAAGGGCTGGTCTAAGCAGCAGCAGAGAAAGAGGCTTTCTACTCAACTAGATTGAGGCTCAGTGCTGTCTGCACTGACTGGCAGCCCCGGCTCTCTGCTCGTTCAGCCCTCCTCACTCTGAGCAAACCATTTATGCATTATTCCTGCCCCCTCCCACTCACGCCAAGCGCACCCGCTCAAGGTCCAGCCCACCCATTCGCCCTCCGCCCTGCTCTCAATCCCCGCCAGTGGCCAGTCCACGTTGGACCTCTTTTTCCCCTACTCACCTCTCAATGATGTCTGCCAGGGTGCAGGCGAACATGAGGAGGCCTTCAGGCATCTGCAGCGCCACTGAGAGAAAGGAGGAAGGGACACATGTCACAGAAAGCTCATTTCCTCCTCCCTCCTCCTCCATTTTCCTTTTGTGCTGCGTCTTCTCATATTGCAACCCCGACGGGGCAGCGACTATCTTTTGCATGTGTGATTTCAAAGCAGTTCCGTGGGCCTTTTTCTGACAGAACAGCAGGATAAAAATATTCTCAAAGCTGGGGGCCTCAGACCTCCACATTTCCGGCCAAATTCTCACCTCACACCCCTGCGCAGAAGACTGGAAGGGGGCTTCTGAGCAACCAGAGAGGAGGCAGTGCCCCTTCTCCCCCAGACCCATCATGGCACACCGGGGTGAGGTGGAACAACCTCTGGGCATGCCTTGAGCCCAACCCAGGAACGCTCCCTTTGCAAGGTCCGTGCACGAAGCATTATGGGATGGCTGCATCTGCAATGCCGGTGGCTGAAACTGGCCCGGCTGCCGCTAAGGTGGGAAGAGGACCCAGGAAGTCAAGGGGCTATTCCAGTTGGACAAGACCTTTCAACCCAAGGCAGCGTGGCCGAGTGGTTAGAGTACTGGGCTAGAACCCGGAAAAGACCAGGGTTCAAATACCCTCTTGGCCATGAAGCTCACTGCCTCTCAACCGGGTTGCTGTGAGGATGAAACGGGCAGAAGTATGCAGGCCACCTTGAGCTCCCTGGGAGAAAAAGTTGGGATACAAATGCAGTAGAATTACGGTAATAAACTTCATCTGGATTTTCCATTCATTCACAGGCAGCTGGATCAGGCCCAAGAGGGGCCCATCTCGTCCGGCATCCTCTTCTCACAGTGGTCAAGCAGATGGCCCAAAGGGAAGCCCACAAAGAAGACCTGAGCAGAACCTCTGGTATTCAGAGGTAGACTGTCCCTGGGCATGGAGGTTCTGCCACCACAATAGACCTCTCCAGAGGAAGAGCCTGATGGATCAGGCACATTAAGTCTTCTGTTCTCACAATGGTCCAGCAGGTGCCACCAAGGGAAGCCGGACCTGAGTGCAAGATCCCTCTGCCCTCCTGCGCTTTCCGCGGGAAACCGACCGCGGAGGCAGAGAATATCCATTGTGGGCCTGGCCTTTCTCCTCAATGAATCTGCCCAATCCTCTTTTAAGTTGGTGGCTCCTGTGGAGGTGAGTTCCACAGGTTAACCACGTGCTGCGGGAAGAAGCCCTTCCTTTCGTCTGCCCTTAACCTTCCATCCCCGCTCCCCATCTCTCCCAACGTGGGGCACGCCCGCCTAGCTGCCCTCCAGAGGCCCCTCCCCACTCCGCCCCCCCCAGCCGCGCAAGCAGAGGCCTGGCTCCGCCTGGCAGAGCTCCCAGGCCCGTCGGCAGCTAACGCTGCCTTGTCCGATCCCATTATCACCCTGACGCGGAGGCTGATCATCAGGCCGACGTGACTCTTGCTCGGGCAACGGCGGCACGCAGCCGGCTCGTCTTGGCATGGATGGCACCAGTCAGCAGCCACTGTGCCAGCCCCCCCCCCCGGGCAGCCACTGCACACACAAGCCAAGGTCTGCCACCCTGGTGTGTCCCCCCCCAGAAACAGGGCTTCCCCACGACGATGCAGGCTGCACGGCTGTGGGACTGTGAGAGCATCAAGAGCCTGGCTGCAGGATCAGGCCAGGGGGTTCCATCCAGCCCGACCTTCCCCCTTCACAGATTGAATCCGGCTCTCAACTCTCCTCTCTGTCTCCTTGTGTGCCCCCCCCCCAGAGCTCCTCCGCCAAGAGTGGTTCAACAGGTAACCCTGGGAACCGTAGTTCTGTGCAAGGTCTTTGAACAACTCGGCACCCTGAGCAAACTACAGCTCCCAGGACTCCCTGGGGGAAGCCGTGGCTGCCTTAAAAGCAACATCAGAATTTTCTGATGTCCATGTGGCCTGGGAGGCGGAGTGGAAAGCCCCGGTTTCCTCCAAAGAATCCTGGGAGCTGTAGTTTGTCAAGGGTGCTGAGACTTGTTAGGAGACGCCCCCAGAGAGCTGCAATTCCCGAATTCCCTGTGAAGGGGGATGTGGGAATTGTAGCTCTGATAGGACAGAGGGGTCTTGCAACGCCTCTCAGGACCCTGAACAAAACTACAGCTCCCAGAAGCCTCTGGGGGGAGCCACAAGTGTATAAAGCAGCATCGTGGTGCTTTAACTGCCTGACTTGGCTCCGCCCATCACTGACTCTGGCTCCGCCCACCCCAGGCTCCCTGCCTCCTTCTTCACCAGCCGCCATGGGCTCAGAGAGTGGGGGTCTCCCAGGCCCAAACCTTTCCAATGGCCGAAATCAGACAGGAGCCCTGAGCTCAGCCAAGGAAGGAAAGCAGGAGACGACTGCAGGGGGTTGTTCTAGATGACCCTTGGGGGTCCCCTTCCAACTCCATAGTCTTGCCATCTCCCCCCCACCCCGCCAAGACACTCACCCCGCTTCGCCCCGGTCTGCCGGATCCTCCACACCGTCTTGTGGACCTCAAAGTTGTAGTTGCTGGGGAGGGAGGCCAAGGCGGCCTGGAGCTCAGGGTCTGAGAGGATCTCCTGGGGGATCTGGTGAGCCACCCGGCGGGGGCCTCGGCGGGCTGCAGGAGGAGGAGGAGGGGAGAATCAGCAGCTGAGTCAGGATCCAGGAACCACCACGGCTTCTCTGCTTCCTCCCCTCAGGCTGGGTGGAAGTGAGGGAAAGGCACTCTGCACGTGGTTAGAGGTCCCCTGCCCGCTTCATGCGTTCCAGGGTTGAGAGAAAGAGCCCAGGTGGGCGGCCAGAGGGCCAGAGCAGCTCTTCTTGATAGGTCAAGGGGACATCGGGCAGGGCAGAGAGGCAGCAATCTCCTCAACCCCAGCCATTATTCGTGGATTTTTATTTACTTCATCTAAGAAAAATTGTATTCTGCTTGACTGTAATAAATCCTTTATGCAGTTGTTGCTTCTATGCTGGTATTCAGAGGCTGACTGGCCCTGAAGCAGCGCTAGAAAGCCACATATATACAGTGGAACCTTGGTTTACAAACTTAATCCGTTCCAGAAGTCCGTTCTTAAACCGAAACTGTTCTTAAACCGAGGCGCGCTTTCCCTAATGAGGCCTCCCGTCGCCGGTGCCCTTCCACCGTTCAGCTTCTGTTCTTAGACTGAGGTAAAGTTCGCAAACCAGGACACTATTTCCGGTTTTGCAGAGTTCGTATACCAAATAGTTCGTAAACAGGGCTGTTCTTAAACCAAGGTACCACTGTAATCTAGTCGCCAAATGGAACCTTAAACCTAGGCTGCAGTCGCCACAATTGAATTTCTAGGCGCCATTTTTTCCTTTTCTTTTTTGCGATGGAGTTTCTATGATTATCATTATCATCATTATTATTTTCATTTCTATACAGTTTAAAGAACAAATCTCAGAGGGGTTTACGACACATTAAAACATGAAACAAAACGAATCCAAGCTTCAAGGAAAATCTTCCAGATCCTTCTCTCAGTGGCACTTTGCCTTCCCCAGTCGCCAACCGAAAAAATCCAGAGATCTCCACATGGTCACAACTGGAAATGCGACAGCCTCAAAATGTGCCTGGCCCTGGGCTAATTTCTAGCACTGCCCTGAACCTGTAGGTTCCTTTAACCCACCAGGCCAGAGAGCCGTTATATTCCATCACAAAAGAGAACTGTAAAGTTGAAAGGGACACCTGAAAGTCATCTAGTCCCACCCCCTGCAATGCAGGAATCCCAGCGAAAGAATCCTTGACAGGTGCCAATCCAACCTCTGTTGAAAAACCTCCAAGGAAGGAGAAACCGCCACTTTCCACCTTCCAAGCTAAAGGTAAAGGGACCCCTAACCATTAGGTCCAGTCGTGGACGACTCTGGGGTTGCGGCGCTCATCTCGCTTTACTGGCCGAGGGAGCTGGCGTACAGCTTCTGGGTCATGTGGCCAGCATGACGAAGCCGCTTCTGGCGAACCAGAGCAGTGCACGGAAATGCCGTTTACCTTCCTGCCGGAGTGGTACCTATTTATCTACTTGCACTTTGACATGCTTTCGAACTGCTAGGTGGGCAGGAGCAAGGACTGAGCAACGGGAGCTCACCCCGGCACGGGGATTCGAACCGCCGACCTTCTGATCGGCAAGTCCTAGGCTCTGTGGTTTAACCCACAGCGCCACCCGCGTCCCCTCCACCTTTCAAGGGAAGGGGCAAATTTAGTCAATAAGATCCAGGAGGGAGAAACTCTGACAGGTTTAGGGGGAAATAAAAGATTAAGAGAAAGCATGAGTGGGGGGCATCCTCACCTTCCCTCTCAAGATGGGGGCTCCCCTAGGACAGGGAGCAGAGATCTTCCCTCCTGAACACACACACACACCATGCTAGTATTTTGGGCAGATGAGGCAAGTGTGCCAGTTGGGGACGTAGGGTGAAATCTGAGTCACCTTTTAGCAGGGTGCTTGGCACCCTCCCACGGTGGCAGGGTGTGTGTAGATGGAGCTGCCCAGAAAGGCCTGGTGGGCATCGATTGCTTCAGCTGACTGCCAACGTCAGAAAGGGCGATCTGCTATTCTTCTATTCTTCCCCCCAAAAGACGCCCCCTCCTTTTAACACAAACGCCATCCTGTGAATCAGCAAAGCGACAAGAGTTCTCAGAGAACACAACTTGGCAAAGAGTTATTTGGGATGGGGGGGTGGAGAGGTGACAGAAAGTAGTTTGAGGGGGGCTATTTATGCTCCTGCATGAATGTGCCCCCCTGCTCCCCCCAAAACACACCCCAATAGGCGGTGGCTACTGTAGGAAGGAGCAGAGAGAAAATGAATCACCGGAGGTCTTGCCTACTCACCAGGGAGAGGCAAGAGAACCAGAAGAGGAGAACACATTGCGGGGGCCGAGGCGGAAGGGCGTGGCTCTCTGGAAGAGCAGCTGCTTGGCATGCAGAAGGTTCAATCCCCAATAGCATCTCAAGGCTCTTGGAGAGTCACTGCCAATCATCACATGATGCTGAACTCAAGGAGCCAATGGCCTGACTCGGGAGAAGGCAGCTTCTGACTTTCCTTTTTTCAATCAGAACAATGAGGACTGGAACCTTGCTTCATTTTTAGAGGACTAGCCGCAGCTCACTGCGGATGTGTGTGCTTTGCATGCAGAAGGTCCCAGGCTCAGTCTCCAACAGGATGTAAGAAGAGCCCTGGTGGATCAGGCCCAAGGGGGCCCACCTAGTCCAGCCTCCTGTTCCTCTCAGCTGTGAGAGTCCAGCCCTCTAAAGCAGGCATAGGCAAACTCGGCCCTCCAGCTGCTTTGGGACTACAGTTCCATCATCCCTGAAGACTGGTCCTATTAGCTAGGGATGATGGGAGTTGTAGTTCCAAAACAGCTGGAGGGCCAAGTTTGGCCATGCCTGCTCTAAAGTGTCCCTTCCAACTTTACAATTTAAATTAGACGAAATCTGCAGCGAGGCTGAGACGGATCTCAGCACCTTGCTGGATCAGGTCTGAGGCCTATCAATGTCAGCCTCCACCTCCTCCCCACATCTCACTGGGGGACGCCCACGGCCCTCGCTCTTCCTTCCGCTCAACAGCTGATATTCAGGGGTAGACTACCTCGGGCCAAGGGGGCTCTACAGGTGGCTTTTCTCCTCCCACACGGCAGTGCCCGACTCCCTCCTGCAAGGACCACGCAGGGGAAAAGGCCCCACATATTGACACCTCCAGATTTTTGTGAGGGGGGGGCGCAGATAGAACATAACAACAACAGTAAATAAGAACAATAAATAACGGCAGAGACCCCTCTCCACGCCTCCGGAGCGACTCCGAATTCACCTGGCGCCGGATCCGGAGTGGGACCTTTCTCCTCCCTCGCTCCTCCTGGATCCGCCATGGCTGCAAAACCCACGTGGAGGCCAGAAAGGCAGCGCCAGTGGAGCGCCGGCCGCGCGAGCCAGGCAGGAGCAAGCCGTCCCCGAGCGCATCGATGGGCAGCGAAGAAAGGCAGCGCCCCGCCCGGAGCCCAGTTTGTGGGGCTGCAGGGAGCCCTTTCGTGTGGGTGCCGGGGCTCAGCCGGCCCCAGCACCTGTTTCCCGTGGCTCCTCATGATTACTATTAGCATTTATGGCATCGTAGATCAGAAGGCAGCGAGAAAAGGCGGCGAGGGTGCCCTTGAGCGCGTGCAGAGTGCACAGAAACTGCAGGCGCAGAGGCTTCACGCTTCGCGGGTGAGCGGAGCTTCAAAATCAGAGGGCGAAATTTCGAAATAGGCCGTCCTAAGCTCCGGAACCTTTTTCAGGAGATCGAGGGTGTCTTGCCACAAAAAATGCCATTCGCTGGCCTCAGTTGCAAAGCGTCAAGGGAGACGACCCCGCCACACTTCTGCCCGCCCCTGTCAAGGCGTGTGTGCCCCTGATGTGGAAGGCACTCTGTACATGCCCCAAAGCACTGCCTCCACTTTTCAGGGCCAGTACTGTATGCATCAGTATAGAATGCCACAGGGCTGGCCCGAAACCAAATGCCTCCCTGCTCCATTTAACTGCATTTGTAGCCCATTTCACGACTTTGATGCACGATTCGAAATGCATGATTTATTTCCCTGTCCCGTAAGATGATAAATTTGCACGCACAGACCTGCAAATCTGTATTTATCCATGCCATATACGAACTGTGTGCATTTCATCTGGGGGTAAACAGGTAGCTGGACAGATCAGTGCAGTGTTTTGGGGGTGCTGGATCTTGGGGGGCCCTCTGAAAAATGGCCACCCAGAGAGCAGCCAGTGGCAAAGTGGGCCCCCATCAGCCCCTGGACCAGCGTAGCCCCCCAAGGCTGGCACGGCTCCCTCTCGCTTCCATCCTTTCCTCCATGGAGTCAGAGCACAGCCTCCAGTAGCTTCCTGTAGTCTCCATGAATCTGTCTGTGCCTCTTTTAAAGCTGCCTAGGTGGTTGGAGCCACTTCCTGTGGAAGTGAGTTCCATAGATTCACTGTGCACTGCATGAAGAAGTCCTTTCTTTTATCTGCCCTGGACATGGAAGTCGATTTATTTCACCTGAGAAAACCCATCCAACTCCACCACCCCTTCGCCAGTCCTCTGAGCCCAGAACAAACTTAAGAACAGAAGACACCAGAAGAGCCTGGGGCAGGATCAGGCCCAAGGGGGCCCATGTGGTCCAGCACCCTGTTCTTAGATGCCCCAAAGAGAAGCCCTCAAGCCGGAAACGAGCACAACATCAACTCTCCAGTTGTTCCTCATTATCCGCTATTCAGAGGTAGACTGTCCCCGGGCATGGAGGTTCTGCTATCGCAATAGACTTCCATATAAAAAGAGCCTGTTGGGTCAGGCTCAAGGGGGCTCATCTAGTCCAGCCTCCTGTTCCCACTGTGGCCACCCAGTTGCCCCGAAGGGAAGCCCGCAAGTGGGTCCTGAGTGCGACAGCAACTCTTCCCCTCCTGCGATTTCCAACAGCTGGCTTTCAGAGACTTGGTGCCTCTGAAACAGCCCTCCTTCCTCACCCCGCAAAGAGCCTTGTCTGTCCTGAAAAACTGAAGGTTTCCCGGGTGCCCTTGAGGATCTTGGTTGGAGATGCATCCTGCCTTGCTACTTGACAGACCGGGCTCCCCACACGCTGGACCTCCAGGATCTCCCCACTCCCTGATGCTCACAAAGAACCACACAGGTGAGCAGCAAAACTGCCAGGTGTCGTATGACGGGTGCAAAGAGCGTCGCTGGTTTCAGGCATGCTAGAGAGCTAGAGTTGCTGCCTCTCAAGGCTATCCTGCCTCACAGGGTGATTGAGGGAATTAAATGAGGACTAGGCACCTGGGAGGGACCTGGGTTCAAATCCCCCACTCACCGCATGTGACCTTGGGCCATCATTGCCACTCAACCTCACCTGCCTCACAAGGCTGGTGTGGGGATTCCACGAGGAAGCAGAGAACTTTGTATGTCACCTTGAGCTCCTTGGGGAAAGGGAGGGGCTAGAAATGCAATAAGAAATGAGACTCCCTTTTTCTGCATAGGTCAGGCAGAGCTTGGACCGTTCTGGGAACACCTTGGAGGAATGAACAGAAAGAGGAAATCTCCCCAACTGTGGGGGTGGGAAGGTCCCATTTGGGGGGACATAACAACAACAACAATTAATAATAATAATAATAATAATAATAATAATAATACAGTCATATCTCGGGTTGCAGACACTTCAGGTTGTGTTTTTTCAGCTTACAGACCTGCCGAAACACGGAAGTACCGGAATGGGTTACTTCCAGGTTTCGGCGGTCGCAAATGCGCAGAAGTGCTAAATCGCACTTTGCGCATGCACAGAAGACCGGATCGCAACCCGTGCATGTGCAGATGTGCCGCTGCGGGTTGCAAACGTGCATCCTGCATGGATCACGTTCGCAACCCGAGCGTCCACTGTAATAATAATAATAATAATAATAATAATAATAATAATAATAATTTATTATTAATACCCCGCCCATCTGGCTGTGTTTCCCCAGCCACTCTGGGTGGCTTCCAAAAGAAGATTACAAATACATCTTGCATGTTCCCAAAATGGCAGGTGGGGTGACAGTGAGAGGCTGCTGTGCTGGGCCTTCCAAGCCCACAAACCCCAAAGGTGTGGGTCATAGCAGGGATGGGGGAAGAGATTGGGTATGAAGCCCTTCCTTGGCTGCCTTTCTAGTCCATGCGATTCCCTCTTGCTCTCCGTTCCTCCAGGGGGTTCCCAGCCCCTTCCAAGCTTCGCCTGACCTTTGCTGAAAAAGGGAGTCGCATCATCTCTCTTGGCATACCTCTGACCTGGCTCCTCTCTGCCTTTTTAAAAGAAGAACGAAATTAATCCGGATCTCTTTGAAACCTTTCCTTTAAAAAGGGCCCGCAAGTTGATCAAAGATTATTTATTTCCTCAACCCCCTTGGGAAACCAGAGAGAGAGGAGGGGGGTGGCCGGTCCTGCCCCTTGGGGTTCCCTCCGGAGAGCCAGGATTGGCCCAGCGCCTGCTGCTGCCGTGCACCACAGAGCCAGGCGGTTCTCCCTGGGGGGCTTTTGCCATGGCGCCCCGCTGCCCTGCCTTGCCTGCTCCTGCCTGCGAAGGCACACCAGCCCTTGAAAGCACGGAAAATATCCTGGGAGCTGTACTTTGCCCATCACACGACTACGATTCCTTTTAACAAGCTACAGTTCCCAGGATTCTTTGGGGAAAAGGATGTGCTCTGAAGGTCCTAAGTTCAAATTCCCCCCTCAGCCTTGAAGCTCACTGGGTTGGACTGGCCACTGCCTCTCAACATGACCTACCTTGCAGGGTCGTTGTCATGGGGATTAAAGGAATAGGGATGGGGAAATGTGTTGGCCACTTCGAGCTCCTTGGGGGGGGGCATTAAATGCAGTACAGTCATACCTCGGGTTGAATACGCTTCAGGTGGAGCACTTTCAGGTTGCGCTCTGCAGCGACCCGGAAGTAATGGAGTGTGTTACTTGCGCATGCGCAGATGGTCAAAAGGCCGTCATGCGTGGAAGCGGCGAATTGCGACACGCACAGACGTGCAGTCGCGGGTTGCGTTCGCTTCAGGATGGGAACGGGGCTCTGGAACGGATCCCGTTCACATCCTGAGGTACCACTGTACAGACCTCATTCTGGAGGTCCGTTCTTAACCTGAAACTGTTCTTAACCTGAAGCACCACTTTAGCTAATTGGGCCTCCTGCTGCCGCCGTGCCGCTGGAGCACGATTTCTGTTCTCATCCTGAAGCAAAGTTCTTAACCCAAGGTACTATTTCTGGGTTAGAGGAGTCTGTAACCTGAAGCGTATGTAACCTGAAGCATATGTAACCCGAGGTACCACTGTACATAAATAAATAGCCCAGCATCTGGTTCTCAAAGTGCCCAACATGATGCCCCAGTAGGAAGGCCATGAAAGCCGGCCCAGGGGGCAGCTGCTTCCCAGAGACAGGGAACAGGGTAAGAATAATAATAATAATTTATTATTTATACCCCGCCCATCTGGCTGAGTTTCCCCAGCCACTCTGGGCGACTCCCAATCAGTGTTAAAAACAGTACAGCGTTACATATTAAAAACTTCCCTGAACAGGGCTGCCTTAAGATGTCTTCTGAATGTCAGGTAATTATTTATCTCTTTGACATCTGATGGGAGGGCGTTCCACAAGGCGGGCGCCACTACCGAGAAGGCCCTCTGACTGGTTCCTTGTAGCCTCACTTCTCGCAATGAGGGAACCGCCAGAAGGCCCTCGGCGCTGGATCTCAGTAGGAGGGTAGGAGGTGGGCAAGAGGAAGACCCTGAACCAACGGATTCAGATGACTAGAAAGAATATTTTGACTAAACGTCAGGAAGAACTTTCTGAGGGTCAAAGCTGTTCGACTGTGGAAAGGTCTCCCTCGTAAGAAGGTGGACTCTCCTTCCTTGGAGGTTTCTAAGCAGAGCCTGGATGCTTCGGTTGGGATTCCTGCATTTTCAGGGGGTTGGACTAGATGACCATCGGGGTCCCTTCTGGCTCTAGGATTCTATACAGAGGACATCTGCTGCTCCAGGAATCAGTCTACGGCCACTGCAGGCTCCTGCACATCCCGACCCTCAACCTCCGAGCCCCTCTTCCCTCCTTCCTCCTCTTCTGGGCCCAAGGACCAAGCCCCATCGCACATTCCTCCCCAGCATCACAGAGCCTCCGATTCCACCGCCACGTTTGGATTCCTGTTCTCTGACATTTTATTACACACTAATTAAATTAGACCCTCTTTCCCCCACACGCAGGCTGAGCGACAGATGCTCAGCCCCCTCCGCGCATGGCTTCTTACTCAGCGCCTGAGTAATCCTCTCGCCTCCCTCCCGCTGGTCAGATGCGGCCACAAGTGGGCTACCGCCCCACCCTGGAAGAGGGAGGGTCCCACCAACTGTAGCGGGTCTCTTTCTCCCTCCCCACCTCGGAG